TTTACTGGTGGTGTTGCTACACAGAACTGATTCTGATCACCCTTTCCCATTATTCACTGTGGGGAAAATCAAATATAATCATTTTGCTTAAAAGCTAAAATCTAAGAAAGTTTTAAGGCAATATAAATAACGCAGCAAGACAATGAAAGAATGCATTTTTACTTTTAGTGCTTAGCACTGCAAAGGTATTGCTTTTGTCCTGCATTATTTCAGTGCTGATGTTTTCCCTTTTAAAAGAGGACGGCTATGTGAAGGTGATGGTGTACTTACCAGTATATGGGTGCAACACTGTAATCTGACTGGCAATTCACCAGTTTCTTGAACTGTATTTGGCAATCCATACCAACAAAGGCACGTGCTAACTTGGGTAGTGTTTCCACTATCTGTGCTAATCTGTTAATAACCCACCCCAAAAGACATCCCATTATGTTGTGACCAACATCTCCCTTTATGATTTCCACATTAGTTAGCATAAAAATTTTCTGTATTCATTCAATATGCGTGACCATGCATATTTTAACACCATATTATTAATGCCAGTATTAATTTATTTGGGTAAGAGACTTAGAATGTGAAGTTAAACCCAGCTTTCTTTCCATATTCAGTGATCTGTATTTACATACTTTTAAAAAGTTGGCCTAGAAGCATCTTCTGATCTTGAAGCAGGAGCTGAGTGACTTCAAAAGAAAAATGCGCCTAAAAGGAAATCCACACTTATCTATTTTTAATATCAGGTTGAACTACTTTCAGGATTTAGAGGATACAGGCTGCGAGGGTGGGGTTTGAGGGCTGGGCTGAGCTGGTTTTAGGGCTGGCTGATGTTTCAAGGGTTGCTGCCCCCTCTGCCTCCCTCTGCCAGGGCTTTTGCTGCGCCTATTGCTTTGGCTTGGGCTCTATGTGATCCTTGTGTGAAAGCGTTTGGCTTGCTAAACTGGCAGAAAACAAACCCAGAACAAGGCGGGATCCAGGCAGGGCTGTATATCCAGCAGCAAGTGGCAAAGCAACTCGCGCAGAGCTGCTCGCTGTGTGGTTTTTCTTTCCTCCACACATGACACCCCTTCATTTGCTTGAAGGTGGTTCTTTTACTTGTGTTTGCAAAACACTTGGTTTCCTAATGGAAGTGCATCAGAATGATGAGACAAGGTACATTAGTGAAAATAAGATGTAGAGGAGGTAAGTGTAGTGTAATCATGGTCTTCAGTACTGCCTGTTCATAAAAATAACAGGGATGGTAAAAGAGAAGTGCTCATTAACTTAAACAAACACTGCTTTCAGATGGCAGATATGTGTGTCAGTGGCATAATTAGGAAATAAAAAGCAAGGCGGTTGGCTCTTCGGTTGTTTCTATCGACATATCTATCTAGCAGGGTGAAGATTTGAAAGCTGTTGTAAAGCTGTACCTATTTGTGCTTCACTGCTGTTGGGAAGGGCAAGTAGGAGCAGCGAGGGTTAGCTGCTCATGCGAGCTGTAAAAAGCCTTTGTACACTCATCTGTTTCTTTACAGCTGTTGTTGCTCCTGTTATCAGCATGGGCAGATTGTAAAGATCCACATGCTGCGGTCGGTCGGTCGCTGCAAACTCCTGCTCCATCAAGTTCAAGAAACACATTTACTGTGGTTTATATGTTATAGATGTAAGCCTGTGTGCAGCTGTCTCCTGTGTGTGATAGGTGAAACCCTAATGCTGGCTTTGGGAAGGCAGGTAAATGGCATGGATTGGATTGTGTGTGTATGTGTGTGTGTGTATATATATATACACAACTTCAGAATTGCCTACTTTCTGCTTGACTAAGCATGGTAACACCAACTAAATTATATGTGGGCATTTCTGACCAGGACAAAAAACATAATTTTGTGTTTTTGAAGTCATTCTTACACATTATAACATGTGTTATATATATGTAACTTTCATTCTTTCAATTAAAAATAATGCTTGATTTTTCCAATAAGTGATTATGTACCTGGCAGCAGTTAGCTTGCTGTCTCTTTTCTGTGTAGAATAAAAATGCATTTTATATTTACACTTTTTTACGCTTTTTGTTCTTTTAATAAAACAATGTTGAATGGGAATCACTGGTATAACTAAACCTACCCTGCAGAGGAAATAAACCAATTTCTAAACGTAAGTGATGTAGTGGGTCATGTCAGCAGGGAACTGTTTCCTTTAAATTCCTGAAAATACATTTTCGTGTAATAATGGGTTTAATACTAAGTTGGGCTTTTTCACATATTATTAGAAGCCCCAGAGGACAGGTATCTTAGCTATGAGTTGCTTGTGAAGTATCTCCTTGTCCTAGAGGGAAAGATGTTTTCAGCAACATCTTGTAATGGTGTGCTTTCCGGTAGTTAAACAATTACAATGATGGATGCGCGTTTGAGGCTCTCTTCTGGGTTTTGCTGCTAATGTGCTTTCTGGTCACAGCATCCCTCGTGACTGAAAACTCTCAAAATAACTCTGCAAGCCATGGACTCAGTCCTAAATTCCTCATACCGCTAACTGGTAATTTTGTGTGCAAAAGGATATTGTGTAAAGGTTTATTTTCACTGTTAATGGACGTGTGAGCACTACTGTGCTAGAACATGCTCAGCAGTGACTAAATAGCAAAGATTAATGCAGTAGGATAGTTGGATTTGGTTGCCTTTAAAAAATAAAAATAAAACTAGTCTTACTGATTGAATTTAATGCAGTTATATTTCGTTTTCACACTGAAATAAATCCGTGCAGGAGGATGTCCTCCTACAAAACCCTCTGTGGAATTTTTAATAGCCACAAGTGGTCACAGCTTTGTTTATACGTCTTGCCTGAAAGCTGGAGAATGTTCCTATAATTAAGTTTAAAAAAGGGACCATGTAGGGGGAAAGGAAGAGAGTAGCCTGAGAATATCCGTTGAGACAAATGTCCTGAGACGATCAGATTTGTTCTCAGGATGGATGTGTATTATTTTTAAAGGCTAGAAGAAACAGTTGTGCAGAATCTGTGGATGGGCAAGGATAGGTTTGTTTAGTTTTAAGCCTCGTGTTGTGTAACTATCTTTGTACTCGTGAGATACTTCAGTAGCAGCAAAATGAAATCTATCTGTTCTATCTAAATGAAGCTCTTTGCTTGGAATAGGAGTGCTTAACATCACCCCTTTGGGGCTGACATGGTAGGAGGAGAGTATTACAAAACCAAAACTTCGTTGTGTCAGTAGTCAAGTGAGCTAGAGAATCAGTGTTATCTATTGATAGATACTGAGGAGCTTTTTTGTTACTGGCTAGGGATTATTTTGCTTTTCTCTTGAGAATCTGAACTCTGAAATCAGGTGAAGTGGTGGAGCAAGATTGCGTTACCTCTTGGCCAGTGAATGCTGGGGGAAAGGCTAGTAAGGGAAGATTTTCAAACACAGGAATTCTGTTGGTTCATGTAACATCACTGGAGAGGGGTTAATTTTTGCTACTGGAAAAGATGAGGGATGTGGATTTGGGAAGTACGGGATTTGCCCCTCTTATTTAGGGATAAACTCCTAATTTGCACTGACCTGTGGCATGTTTCTTGTGTGTTGGTCTGTTGCAGTTCTTTCTCAGTGCGCAGAAGACTTGGTTATTTTTTAATTTTTGGTTCCTGCTTGCTCAAAATGCCACATTTGGATTGATGGCATTTAAGTCATGCTATTACATTTGCTTCATGCTTAACAAATGAAGGACAAAAATGTAAAGTGAACATAAAACAGTTGGTAATGTAAAAAAATTATCGGGAAACAGGAATGTAAAGAATTGCATTTGACAGTTGGATTTCTATTTTTTAATGATGATTTTTGTGACCTTCAACGTCAGTATCTGAGAAGTGAATTGATTCCCATGCTTTTTAGTAGGATTTGTCGAGAGAAATGAATACTGAAGGTGCCTTTGTAAGCTTCAGAGTTCTGGGTTAATGCCCGTGTTTGGATGCTGTGCTTGTGTTGCTGATAGTGGAACATGATTAAAGCAGCATCGTCACAGCTACAGGACAAAGTACTGATTGCTATGGCAAACTATAGTTTGGTTTTTGGTTTTGGGATGTGTTTTTATGGTAACACCTTTAGTGAAAGCAAACCTGCATTAAAAGTGCATATTCCGATAAGTATTTGTTTACAGGAAATTCATCTACATGTATTTAGTTCAGTCACAGTAATTGAACAGAAATGGGCCAAGTTGGAATATCTATTTAGCCTTTTTTAATGATTTCTTATTATTTTTTAGTACTAACAAGATTTATACTGTTGTCTTTCCTTCTGTTTTACTACTTGGCCAGGAATATAATTTGGACTTAGAACAATGCCGTGCCTATCTAGTAAAATCATCACTAGGCAAATTGTCTTTCTGTTTAGTAATAGCTGAAACTCTGAAGTTTTAGAAAAAGGAAGGGCTCTCCCTGTGAGCTGAAGGGTTTTCTCATGAATGACTCACGTTGGAAATAGAACATTGTCTTTATTTAAAGATTAGAAGATAGCATGAAAGCGTGATGCAACTCCAGTTTGTTCACTATACCGAAGTGCTTTTCCATCCAGCTCTTTGTTCTCTTTCAGTATTTAAATGTTCATGCTAACTCCTCCCATCCTGTCTACTTTGTGTTTAGAACTGGTGAAAGACCAAAAAAAAAAAAAAAAAGCTTGGAAGTGACTCAGAGAAGAGAGCTAGGAAATTTGTCTTACGGAACAAACAGGTAATATGCACTCAAGGAGCACTTGTATGTGGAGGGTTATATGGGCACAAGCTTTAAAAAAAAATAAAAAAATCTTAAGTGTTATAGCTAGTGAACACTTGCCTGCACATTCAGCACAGCTGAATGGAAGCAGTCTTCTCAGAGCAGACATCCCTTGTGGCATGGACCTGCTTGCTGAGGTCTGTGGAGTTGCTTCAAGGCACTGTGGTTGCTCTTCAGGCATCTCACGTTTGCTTGCCATGAGCCAAACGTCAGCCTGGATGTCACACTTTTCGGCTGTAGTTTTGGAACTTTTTGAATAAATGAATTTTTCTTTTCAGGTTGGAAGCATGGCAAGCACTAGCTCTGGTGTCTAAGGATGCCTGGGCACCACAGCTCCGCAGGTTTCCTTTCCAAAGAAAATTCTGCTCAGGCTCTCGCTGCGGTGTCTGCTCTGCAGGTTGTGGAAGGCACCTCGCACACAGTGAGACAGACTGATTGCCATTCAGCCCTACTGCTGGGAAAACGTTTTATCTGTTTAGAAGTAAGATGCTGCGTTTTTCTTCTGTTTTTGAATCACTAGAGATCAATGAACAAGAAAGAATATTTGAAGTGAAAAACAGAGTAGATCCTTACTTGTAAGGAGAAGGTTTAAGTAATGGTGCGTGCCCTTTTGCATTAGTGATTTTTCTTTTTATTTTTTAGCAGCAGTTGAATATTTTCTACTGTTTTTTTTTCTTTCAGATCAGGTAGGAACATCCTGCAGTGTTAGTGTATCAAAAACCTTCATTGAAATACAGAAACACTGTTGTTAAATTTTGCTTTAAGGAGGAGAATTGAAACACCAGGGACACCAACCATGGCTGAGGTCACGCACCCTCCTGGAGCAGACACCTGTAGCCTCTGAAATTGCAGGCTGTAACGCCCCGCGGGCAGTTCCAAAATGTTTTTGGTGAGTTCGTGTGCCCATTGGTGTGCTTTCTCACCAGCATGACCAGAAGTGCTGGAGAAGGGCAGCAGTGATGGTACACAACCAAAAGAAGACTGAGAATAAGGCAAACACTTTCAGTATTATCTTCCCCGCCTGCCAATTTATGGTGGCAATAGGACCATGTGCTTCCTACAATTAAAGAATCCCTTCTCTGTTGCTGGTGTGAGTGGATATAAATACTGACTGCACCAGTAGTGGCTGGAACCTGAGCAGTACTGTGACCCTTGCTCAGCTCTAGCCTGTTTTTTTATCTTTATCAAAGGGTATTGGAGTCCTTTGGCTCTGATACTAATACCCTTACTTAACGATGTTGCAGTAATGTGGAGTTCCCTCTAAGTACTCTCTTCTAAGTGCTCTGTAAGAGCACTTAGAATCTTATTTTCTAGCAGATTTTTCTTGTCTTTCATCTGGCAGATAGATACTTGATGTTATTTCCTAATGCAAAAGACAGTCTGACTCCGTTTAGTTTATTTCCTTTTTGTCTAACAGGATTATTAATTGTGTTGTGAGGGCTGTCTCCCTGTTGCTGCTGTGATCAGAGGGAATGAAAAAAAACAGAAGACAGACTCAGAGAGCTGTATGAAGAGGACTTTGGTGTTTTATTTCTTTCCCTTCACTCAGTAGCCTGAGCACAGAAAACTGTCACAAGTCATGCTGATTTAAAATAGAAATTCCACTTGTCCCAGATATTCCACACCTACAAGCTTTCACTGGGTAGTAACGTAAAGGAAAAGGAACTGCAGCAGCACTCGCTGGCGTTAGGCTTCGGGCGGAGTTAGTGGTAGCAGCTAATACACTTGGCTTGAAGGCCAAGCACCATCTGTGGATACTAAATACTGAAAGCTTTAAGGTTATTTTCTATTTGCCTTCTGTTTAGTATTGCTAGTTACCGGTGAAGGTGAGATCAGCCAAGTCTATGCTATGGCAGGAAGTGTGTAAGTGGAGGACTTACTGATACTGCAAAGTCTAATCTAATTTCATCTACTAATCTAACACTGCAAAAATGCTTTAATGATACTTGTCCATACTTCCCAGCTAGGGGAGTGCTAGATTATATGTGTTTTGCCTTTCAAACAATCAGCATCGGGTAACAGACTTGAGTTTTGTTGTTTTCAGTCCTCAGATAACCAAGTTAACTCTGGTATGTGTAGGTACAGGGCGTGTGCATAGGCACAGAATCTCTTGAGTTTGGATGGTTAAAATCTTCGAGTACACGTGAGACAGTGGTATGATCCCTTGTCTAAGCATCACACATGTTTCTGAGGTTTGATGTGAAAAGATTCAACCAGTATTTGCATGAAAGGAATGTTCAGAAATGGGTGAGTTTCTGATCTGACGAGGGGAAAAAGCAGGTAAACATCGAAGTCTAGTATTCTTTCAACAGAAGCCTGTAATTTCCTAAACTGGAAGTAATTCAATCATATCTGTATCTGGAATAGCTAAATGAGATCATCTCCCATAATTACTTCATGTCTAACAAGCTCTGTTGCCATTTGGATTTTCTATTATGATTTGAATCCTAAAAGGAAAGGAGCTTAACCACTGGATGTCAAAAGTAATCAATATATTTCATTATTAAGGTTTGAAGAGAAGCTGTGTTTCAAGAGTCCAAGTGAAAAAACTTTTGTCAAGCTGAATCTTTGCTCGTGATCCTGTTGTGTCCATTAAATGTATATATGACATAAAGAAACACCCTCGGTCTTCTGAAGTGACCGCACTGTTGGTTGTTACTGTTGGTACAGAACCATATAAATATCTTAATAATTATTTTTGTTGTTCCATTGGAGCTGGAAGGAAGAGCTGTTCTATAAATAAGGAGCAATTTCCAAGAAAGTGGGTAGCGTTAAAACTGTTATTACAGGATTGTTGCAAAGGAGGTGAATATTTGTGGTTGGTGTGCTACTGCTGTACAAGTAAGTGAGCGTAATCCATGGCCAAGGAAGTTTCTTGCTGGTGAAGATCTGATTGCTTGAGAAAAGCAGAGGTTTTGTGCAAATAACTTTTTGTTTGTTAGTTGTCAGAGACTGCAGGGTAAGGGACTCTTGCTAGAGTGGCTGACAATCACGCAGGAAAACATTTGCATCTTCAGAGGCAAATACTTCTTATCATCAGGGTAACATATTTGTTCTAGCATGGCCAAGGAGGTTCTTCAAATTGAGTTAAATGCTTCAGACTCACTCAAGTGGTGGTACACAAAAGCAGAACTTCATGATAGGCTCTATTCAATAACTGATTGTAACTGCATATTTATTTGTAAAGAGCAAAAATGTTTATCCAGCTGATGGAAAGTAATTGCTGTTGGGGATATCTGTAGTGTTCTACTTAGCTCTGTCTCATATGTACGGGTAAAAAGCAGCCAAGTAAAAGGTTACTCTTGCAGTTATGATGTGGGAAATCAGTATCAGGATGCACATCTTGATAATGAGTTTTGTATAGTCTTGGCTTTTCTTTGGCTTTCCCCACCTGAAAAATGTTAGATGAATGTATTTTGAACGATAATTTACTTACATGAAAAATTTTGGTCCATGACTAAAATAACTGGAATGGTACCAGACTTACGCAATTTAACTGTGGAAACAAATCTTACCACGTATCATATGATAATGAGTTCCCTTAAATTGTCTAGGCTTCTTTTGAAGGACTGATTCTGTCCCTACTCTATTACATTATTTATGATTTTACAAAATAGAATTTCAGTAAATTTGCTTTGTTTTTTTTCTCTGAAAATATTTTTACTGAAAATAATTCCAACTAAAAAAACTTTCCTGTAAGCTTGTTTTTCTTAATCAAGTTTATTCAGTTTTCTGCTACGAGTTACGTTAGCAAATGCATGAAAGGCTATGTTTTTCTTTATTTCAGTGCCTGATGACCTCTCCATAGAAGAAAGAGAAGAACTTTTAAATATTCGTCGCAGGAAAAAAGAACTGATTGATGACATTGAGGTAATTGATTTATCTGTAAATTCCTTAGGAGACTACTTCAGTAGATGAAATTTATAACAGACTACAACATTTCTCTGTATGTATAAATCACTGTACGTAATGGTTTTAAAAGCATGTAAATGGCCTAAGCTAAAGCTTACTAATTATCAATAGGATTTACAATTCATTATGTGCTTTTAAAAATGTTAACTTCTGTATTTATGTAACACATTATGCGTATATGTACACATTTGATTTGTGTAATCAAGAACTCAAGAAGCGGTGGATTTGTATATAGCATAGGAGCGAGAAAGAAATTTGGGTAAATAAATCTTATATTGAGGTTGGTAATGACAGTTTGGTCTTGATCTTCTGACATGAGCATATACTTGAATGCTATACTTCAGATCAGCGATTCAGTTGTGGTAAAATCTTTAAACGAGGTATCTAAAGAAACCATGAGATTTATCACTTGTCTTCAGCTGACTAGCAAATAATTAAAGAAAAAAAAAACTAACGTCTTACTAGTACATGATAATTTAAAAATGAGTATTAATGTGGGTTAATTTAATTCACTTCCTTCTTTTGGCAGAGATTAAAATTTGAAATAGCTGAGGTTATGACAGAAATTGATAACCTGACCAGTGTGGAAGAAAGGTAAGTAGTGCCAATATATGGCCATGATTCAGTAAGACCTTGGAATAAGCTCTTCTAGGAACAGAAAATAAAAATGGCTTTATTATGCTAAACAAACATTTGATCACCTTTATTCAGTCTAATATAAAGCCTCTGAAGTTTGACGCTATCCCATTCAGGTGTGTCATTTGTTTGGATTGAGAATATGTTCAATAGAATGTAATATTTTAGATGGTCCAATTAATAATGATACAGTTAATGGAAGCATCAATTCCTTGAAATAACCGTAAATAGTAACATAATTTTCCCCCTTATAAAAAGTGAATGTCTCTTTCGTAATATAAAAATACGAAGTAATCAAAATACAAATTAAAAGAAACTAATCCAGAAATGGTTCTGTTTTATAAGAATAACTGATAACTGCTTTTTATTTTTTCCCTTTTCTCCATGTGTAGCAAAACTACACAAAGAAATAAACAGATAGCTATGGGAAGGAAGAAATTCAACATGGACCCTAAGAAGGTAAAGAATTATTATTATTGCTCATCAGGAATCAAGTTCCTGCTTGTAATATGATCTATGGCAAATACAATCTGTTTTCTTAAGAAAACATTTCTGATAATATAAATTGTTAGGCCTTATTTGTATATCCTTTAGTACACTGAGCAGAGGGTTAATGTAGAAGCAGTCATTTTAGTCATTTGCCAGTCATGTGTGCTTTTTTCACTTAAGCAAACTTTTTTTTTGATCAGAAAAGGTTTTTATCAACAATCAAATATGCCAGGTATTGATTGAGCAGGCTTGCAGACAGATTATTTGTACCTGATAGAGGGAGTTCAATGTTGACTTGTCAAACAATTCTAAAAATACATTGTTATTTGGTTAATAGTGAGGAAATAAATTTAACTTTAATTCTCTCTGGTTCTTCCAAAACGCTTTTAACATGGTTGCTAATTATTTCTCATACAGGCTCTTCCATTTGTATATCTAAATTCCGTTTGTGAAAAAGTCGTATTTGAACATTTGTATATTTGTGTACATACGTACACATATATGTACCTATACAGTTTGTACAAACACCTGCAGGTGGGAACTTCTGTTATCAGTTTCATTTAGCTGAAAAGTAAAGTAGTTCATTTTTCTGCAGTACCTCTACTTTTCTTAGAGTTATTAATTGTCTTGAAAACTGCGAGACCTGAACATTCTCTTACAGAGTCCCCAATATATTTAAAAGAACTGTTTCAACATATGTGATTTTTGTTTCTTTACTGTTTATGTTAAATTTGGCATCTTTCTGGCTTTGTTTTTCTGCCTTCTACAGTCTTCATTGGGATTCCATTTTGAATTATTTTCTTTAACATCTTTCTTGAAATTGCCTTAACTTTCAGATTGTGTTGAAGTCAGTTACATTTCGATGACTTTTCCTTAATGTTCAAGTACAGTAATAGTTAATGTTCTTCTGGCTATTTTCAATTTATGAGAAGCACTCAAGTGTTTTGTGATGTAGAACCCTTTTGAAGCTAGCGACCATGTATTTTATTTCTCAATTTCTCCATTTTGGTGGCAGTGTAACTTCATTTCTGTTGAGGGCAGAATATCCCCAATATCCTGGTAGTTTGCTCTTTTCCTCCAGCTCTTTTGTCTCCAGAAGCTTGTGGCAAAATCAGAATGATGTCAGATGCTTTTGTTCCAGTGTTAACTGTTTTTTGTTATTGTTCTTGTTGGATGGAATTATTTCTATAAATAGATGCTGTGGCCACATTACTACTGTAACATAATATAAATGTGGTAAACAGACTTAGAGTAGTAATTCCTTAATAATGTTTATGAATCAGTGGCGGCCTGCAGTAGCTGGCTGCTCTAAAGCTGTACTGTCTCTCTGTTAGGAGCTGCTACTTGAAATAACAGGCAGCTGAAATCTGTGTCATTCTCATGTTGTATGAGAGAATGAACTTGGGGTCATTGCGAAAACGATGCTTTTCTTTTGTAGTGAGACGGAAGATGGTCTCCATATTTAGAAATGTGAAAAAAGTAAAAGTAATAATACGTGCACTGAATTCCCAAAGTGGTGGTGTATTTTCTTTTTAAATCAAGTAATGGAGATACAATGTTTTAATAGAAGCAGGAAAATTTTGAGCTTTCTTAACCATTTTTATTTAAAGATTTAAATTTTCTAATGTGGTACCCAGTATTTTGAATAATTGTCCCTGACCCCTTACCAGCAAAACATCATCACAATATACACGTTTAATGCAGTTATATCATGTAACATCACCAAATTTGCTGTTCAGATTTGGTTAGATAGTGTGGAAAGGACTGTGACGGTCAAGTTTGTAAAAACAGTTTAGGAATCCCAGTGCAGGGGATGTAAAGCTGTGCCTGAAGATCCCCGCATTGGATGTCAGTACTGGCTGTGATGGGCCCAGAAAATGAATTCTTTATAACAAAGACAGGGTTTAAATAACTGCAAATTCTCTAATTAAGATGCTATAAAAACTGAAACTCAAGGAAGACTGCATTGCACAGACCTAAATAAATAAATAAATCGATGCAATATTTGCAGTGAATATTGAATATTCCTGTAACAGTGCATTTTATATGGGGAGGTCAAACTAGTACAGCCGCCTCCCGTCTTGTATCAGTCTAGAGAAAGAAAATTTACATCAAGACAAAAGATAGTGTAGGAGTTGATGGATGTTTGGCTGGCCTATTTTACAATTTATTCCAGACGTTGGAGTTGTCCCAGACATTCCTTTCCTGTCTATCTGACTTCTGGTTCTTAAAGATCTGAAGGAAAAAGAAAAAAAAAATTAGAATAATTTTTGTAGCATGCTAAGATAGCTGCTTCTGTGCATAGAAATTTATTTTCCATGATTCTAGTAATTTCCATTTTTCAGTAACCTGTATGACTTTTAAAAAATTACTCTGGACAGTCTGTATACATTAAACATGAATAATACGGTCTGGGTGTTGAATGAGGGAATCTGCAACTGCTGTTTCTGATGTTTGTTAGAAGGAAGGTTCTCTGGTGGTTGACAGATCTGAGAAAGCTTTTTGAATAACTTGCTATGGGGAAAAAAAGTGTTGTTTCATACTCAAATTATTTTTTTGTACAAATAATAAGTTACCAAATAAGCTTTGAAGTGATTAGTTTTGAGGAAAGCTCAGCTATTTCAGTTTCAAGATAAAACTGATATTTTCCTTGCATCAAAGTCATCTCTGTTCTGAAATGAGTTATAAAAATACTGAGTTGTCAGTCAGACTACCAGCATGTCACTGAACTAAGTATCAGATGATGAAGCTGTTATGAGAGAATTGTATTCCAGACTTTGTTTTTTTTTTATAATTAAATGATTATGTGCCTGACAAGAAGTCAATTGTCTGGCCTAATTTAACAAAGAAGATGCAGTCTTGAAGCTAAAAACCAACCAACCATCCATACGAAAACAACAACAAAAACAAAAAACAACCGAACAGGAAGATAATTACTTTTTTGAATATTACTGCAGGGCCTGCTGTGCTATATCAAAAAGTAATGGAAATTTTCCTAGATGTAATGAAATAAAAACTAAATATATCCCATTTGCAGAAATTTTAAAACTTCTGGCAATTGGAAAATTTCTGAAATTATCCAATATCCTAGTAGGAAAGATTTGGAATAATAATTTATTCAGCTCTCCTGATACTTGGAATCCAAGGCATTAAGGATCCTTGCAGCTGCCATTTCTCCTTTTTAGCAGCGTGCTTCTCACAGTTTTGTGAAATCAACAGGAATATTAACTTTGGGGGTATGTTGGAGAGGGGGAATAGATGTCTCTTCATGACCTGTTGGGTGGTGGGATGACATCCTTTCCAGCCTTCCTGTAAACTTTATCTAACTTTCAATCTCCTTTCTTAACCACTTTGCAGAAAGCTCTCTGGGCACCCCCAGAGCACGCAAGTTGTAGGGCCAGTGATTTATGGAAGCGTAGGGGCCCAGGGGCTTGACTGAGCGCCCACTGGGGGAGAGGTCTTACCTGAGGGTAAGAGTCCTCCTGTCTTTGGTAGAAGCTCTGTGGTAGACGCTTGACTGATTTTTCTGGATAGTCCTTTGTGAATAGTTTAGTTCAAGCACAACTAGCAGTCAGCAATAATCCCAGTGTCAGCGTAAATTCTGTAAACTAGTTTCAGTGTCTTTAGCCACGACTTCTACTGCAAGTAGTGGCTTGATGTATTGGGTTGCAGTTTGCAGATGCTTTATTTTATGTCATGGTGGTAATTAAGTTATTCCTGCATACTTCGTTATATGATTTTAGAGATTATGGCTCTGCAGACATTTATGCAATATAGTGAACAGGCCAACTTGCACATCGACTCCACAGAGCAGCGTGGAATTCAATTTATTCAATTAAAACAATATCTGATATTTGCAGGTGAGGAATTCTAACAGCCACCTAGTACTTCTAGCCTTAAAATGTGTTCCCATTTTTATGTGTAAATCAGTACTAAATACTACTTATCTGACTGGAAAACTTTCATTTGTTTACTGTTTTGTCTTAAAAAAAAAAACAAACAAAAAACTTCTATAGGCTAATTTAATACTTAAATGCTATGTGTGTATCTGTGTCCCTATATTAATGCCAACTGTTATGAGCAGTATTTACATAAATGTTTGTGGAAGAAAACATAACATTCGTTTTCCTCTGGAATTGCTTTTCTTAGGGAATACAGTTTCTGATAGAAAATGACCTCCTGCAGAACACTGCAGAAGACATTGCACAGTTCCTTTACAAAGGAGAAGGATTAAATAAAACCGTAATTGGCGATTACCTCGGTGAAAGGTAAAATAAAAATATTGGAACTTTGTTCTTGTTTACAAAGCATACTTACTGGTTTGGTAGTTACCACCCCCTTCACAGGCTGCACATAATAGCTGCTATTCTGAAATCTATAAAAGCTACAGTGGGAAGTAATACTAGCCTATTATGATTTGTGTTTTTTTTCTTTTCTCTGCTTTCTTGTTGTTCTTTTTAATTGGATGCATTGTGGAAAAAAACATTTAATTAATTGTAACTTACCATTTTGAGAAAATATCTTTAAATTTGGCTATAACACACAATTTAATGCCATAAATTTCTGGAATGACAGAGTTGTATTGCAACAGTTCCGGTAATTCTTGATACTGTGCCCAGACAGGGAGTGCCTTACAATTGCTTATATTTGGATGGTAAAGAAATAACTTATAAAAGATGGTAGTTCCTGGGACAGTTCTAAAAACGTTTTAGTGTTGCCGTCATCTCTGCACACAGACTTCCCATTAGTAAATAAGTATCTCAAAGAGCAGCTGCACCATAGCTTTATCAGTTCTAGTGCAATAAACATGCAACGTGCATATTTTTGCATATGGTTGCATAACATAATAAAAATGCAAATTACCTCCATTGGTGTGCAAACTAGGAATTGATTTTTGGAAAAGGCAAGAGCAAGAGACAGAAGTAGAGAGTGGGTTGAAGTACATGTATATACGTGCTTGCACATGTTCTGCTTCAGATGCCAGTTATGGAGGTTTGAAAGCTGACTCATTTAGGATCTACTCCTGCAGTGATATGTTCTGGCAGATCCCTTTTGAGACATCCGTAATCTGTTTACAGCATCAGCAGCTTAGTTTGTGCTCAGCAGTTTCCTCCTGACATTAACAGGTTTAATGAAAGTTTTCACTGTGATACATACATTTTGAAAATGTTTGCCATGGAGCTGCTGCACCATATACGTAGACATTTCAACAAGTTTTACGTGAAAGCATTAGGATGTTCATCTTGAATATTTGGGCAGTGTTATACAATTACTCATTATGTCAACATCCATAATTACAGAATAGTAACAAAGCTTGTACAAAGCAGTCTGTATTCATTTTTGACAGCTGCATTCTACCTTCTGAAATACTTCCAGTTTTTCTATCCCTAATCCTGGAACCTGCATACGCATGCAGAAAGGTCTTTCCAATATGTTCAGTCCTACAGGCATAGTCTAGAACAGTCATGTGACTATTTATAGGTTTACATTTAAAATTCAAAAATGTATTGCTCATCCTTTTTCATTCCAAGCTGGGCAGCACTGTCATTTGATCTGGAAACACTGGGCAACGTTTATTAACATTGAGCATGTATGCTGATAAATATGCAATTCAGTTGCATCTTCTTGATTTCTCATTATTTAAGTAAGAGAAATTTTAGCGATCAGTCCTGAATAGCAAATTTGATCAGGATTTTTTTAATAAATCTGTTAAATAGGAATGGCATTTTATCTCCCAATTCTCCTCAGATTTTATCACCTATTTTGCCACAAAGCAGAAGCATGTCCATTTTAGGGAGCAGTTAAATTAATATATATATTTTTTTTAAGTTATGTTTTGTTTTAAAATAAAATTTATTCAATGTATTCAGTCATTCTACTCTAATTGGGTTTTACTTGTTTCTTCATTTCTATGAAGGATATGATACTAGCATAGTAGTGGGCAAGGAAACTGTCTACTTTTTTTTTTTTCCCACTAATAGCAATTAGGAAGGTGAAGATATGACAGTTTGATTTTTAGGAATGTGTATGAAAATTTCAAGGTAGTCAGGTCTGGAATGGGAACTGGTTCATAGTACTTGTTTAAAAGCAAAATTAATTTCCTAGAAGCCTAATAATATGTATTAATTTTCCCCTGAAAACAATATATTAGGCCTTTAAGTCCTGGGGGAAATAACTGCCCTGGGATTAAACAGAATATGAGAACTGAGGTGGTCTTCAGCTGATAGTTCTGCTTTTGTGACTACCTTGTAAACACTAACTTATGCAATGCAAATGGCAGCACATATTACAGAAGAGTTTTTGTTCAGGTATGTACTTCCTACCTTTTATTAAGGCACCTGAAGTCTGAGGATGTTCCTTTTTACTTAGCCATTCCCTCCCAGGGACCTATCATGAAATTGCTTCTGCATTCTAGCTAAATTTAGCTGAGGATGAGGCTAGGACAGCCAACAGGATGAAAAATTTGTAGAATATCATGGCATAAAGAGAGATGCTTTAAGTTACTGACTTATGGAGTATTATAGGCTCTGCAAACTGGAAAAAAATGAATGGCAAAATGGAACAAAATAATACCTAAAAATGTACAACAAATAAGAGATGAATTGCATGCTATGAAAGATTTAAGTTTTCTTTATACATGGACAAGTCCTCATTTGTTGTTAAGTGGCTTTCTAGACTTTTTGTGATATTGGTTTGTGTTGTTGGAGCTGTACCCAGCACAAGTATAACTATTAATCCAGTCTACACTAAAACCTAGAAGAGCAAAAATTAGAATATAAGGCTAATTTTTGTTCTGAATTACTGCAGCTTTGTGTATGTGTAGGCAAGATAGATCTTTGCCTTAAAATAAGAAAACAACCCTCTTGAGTGCTCAGTTTAATTGCACACTTGTGCCAGTGTACTGCCCTGCAAAATAGTCTTGAAGCTAAATTGTATATTACTGAATTTGAGAGCTGCTGCTTTTTGCTTGATGGAGCTGATGTGTGTTTCTGTAAACAACATGGAAACATCTTAACAAATGGCTTGGTTTTAAGTATTTGCTTGTGAGTATTCTGGGCTGGCTACACGCATTTAGTCAGTAATGCAACAGATCATTCTTGGTGGATGCACACCTTTCTATTTTTGGGTGGAGGCTGATATGCAACATTCTGCCTTGGTGATGTATTTAAAGCACACCCTAAGGTTTACAAACCTTTATGCTTCTGGCATGTGAACTTAGTGATGGTGTAGACTAAATTCTATCTGGATCCAAATCATTTTGTGTTCATCAGCATTTAAATATTACTTTTGCATTCAAATACCCTTGTATCAAACAAAGCACGCTTTGGCTCACAATGCCTAATGATGCATAACGATGTAAAAGATAGTTAAGTGCAAGCCAAGTAAAAAGGCATTCTGATTTTAGTAAACTTGTATTGCAGTAGTTTTTGAGAATGGAATAAGAATGTGATGCTTATTAAGTAGCTCTTTCAAAAAAACATTATTTTCTTAGTTATAATGGGTTGAAGTATTTCTGTTGCTTGTTTCTGTATCTGAATTAATATATTGATTTAATATTTCTCATTCTTAGAGGGGGTAAAAAAGAGGACAATTTATTTTATCTGTGTTGTATTAGAAATTAAACCTACATTAGCTGTTGCTTTAAGTGTTCCTGACACAATTTCTGCAAAAGATTTTCTGTACTGACCAGTTTTATCAAATATCTTCCCATGTTAGGTAGGTGCAGCAATAATAAATAAGGAAGCAAAGGAAGCCAGGTCATTTTTCAGGTCGTTCAAATAAGCAGTTGAAATCCATTTAAGTATACTGGCTATTGCTAATTTAGATTATTAGTGTTTCCAAAAATGGGCAAAACACTAGCAATTAAAATACTCAACTAAATATGTAAACAATTTCTGGTGGTTTGATTTGATCAGTATGATCATCTATTTGTTTGCTTATTCTCAAGGAGAAAAATAAAGATAACTAAGAAGGCTTTGAAGTTCAGAATTGTAAATGTCTGTTTCCATTCTTGTCTTTCATAGAGATGAATTTAATATTAAAGTTCTTCAGGCTTTTGTTGAACTCCATGAGTTCGCTGATCTCAATCTTGTACAAGCCTTAAGGTGAGTAAATTCTTTCTTTACTTCCTTTATCAAATTGCATGTTTGTATGAGTCACTGCGTTGATTTACCATCAGAAAGCTGATCTAAAGCTCAGCAGGGTTATATGTTCCACAAGTTAGCAGAGACAGCTCTGTTTTAGCACTTGCAATTGTTTGTGTTTATGTTGCCTTTGAAGGTGAAGAATTTTATTATTTCAGACAAATACAAACAACTGAACAGTAGCCATCGCTCTTAGGTATGCCTGCCAAATGTGGACATTTGAAGACCCATTTTGTATATTAGCACAGAGATAGGGTTTTGTTTTTAACCTAAAACGAGCAAACGAATCTTCTTTACTGCCTTCTTCTTTCTCCTTTTCTTCCGTTTTAACTTGTTCCTTTGGGTGGGTGGGGGAGTCCTGCTGACAGAAAACAAAAGTGTAAAATCTTAATATACTTTTTTCCCTTTCTAAGTTAACACTTGACTTGATTTCTTTGGGATGGCAGCGTACAGTGACCTTGTGAAGGCTGCTCTTGTCTTGGTGGAAATCCACAGTTAGTCCAGCAAATAAAGTTGGTCTAGACAGTTTTGCCAGTTTCATTGCCACAAGTGACTCTCTTCTGACACCAGATAAATTGAATTGTTCATGTGATCTTTGTCTCTGGTGCAGCGCCTTGTGATGTGGTGTCAGAACAGCTTTGCTATGGTCGAGTGATGTGGTGATGATAACCTGAGCTGCCTGAGGCTTGAGCTAAGGCTCTGGCTGCTGAAGCTTGTCTGGGAGGCTTCATATTCCTGTCTCTTTTACCCAACTTAATGTTAGGCTTGACTTTATTCTTCCTTAGCAGCTGCTACTATTAAATATTTGTATTTTGGTAGCTTACAAAATTCGTGAGCTGGGTTGGAACCTTGTATGAGGTGAGTAAAAGACAGTATGTAGAACTGAACAAGCTAAAGATGGCCTGTGACAATTTGATATCATGTCTTAAAATGAAAACCTACGAGGATGGAAGTAAATGATTATTATATTGGGTCCCAGTGTACAGGGAATATAGAGAACTTGTTTTGCATGGCAGAGCATGTAAATTTGCTGATTTAGGTCCTGTTTTATTTTAGATAATTCTTTTGCTAAGAAAGAAAAAAGAACAAGTGATTAAATTCATTGGAGCGTTTTAGTTCCACAGTGTGCCAAAAGTGAATTTGTAAAGATTTCTGTCCTGTATGCATTCCAGTGTACCTATATGTAGAAACAGTAAGTTGTGAAACTAAAAACTCTATTTCAGTTCACGCAGCTAAACAGGAGAACAGATCTCCCACATATATTATAAAATTACTGAGATGATATCGCGAGTCTTTCTTTATAAGATCTGCGTCTGATTCTTGTAGGGTGAAGTCACACTTAACAGGCAGCATCTCTCTCAAAGCACTGGGGTTTTTCTTGTTGTTTTTTTATTTTTTTTAATGTTTGAGGAATTCAGGCAAAGATGTTGAGTGTAGTGTTCTTTGCTTCCTTCTCCTTCCGGAAATATTTTATTTACTATGTCTTTTACATTGAAAGTGAAGTCTAGTTGAGTGTTTATTGCTTTTAGTATCCAGGAAACCTAGGGGAGGACTGAACTGTTTTGTTTCCCTGTAGTATTCTCATGGCAAAATGGGATGCATACAGAAAATTGTTTACTAGTCTGGAAAATGGAGAGTCTCCGAATATGAACTGCCATGTTACCTTGCCTGATAGCATGCAGTGTTGCTGGCTGAATTACTGGGCTAGCCATCTGTGCATGTTGCTTTATAATAGCTCCTGACTTGTGTTGTTGAGAGATTGAGAACCTATTTCTAGGACATTTTATATAGATATTGCTGACTTTTGTTTCCAATTATCAGTAATAGATGCTTAATACATAATGACTGGAATGAGTCTAACAACTATTCTTCCTTTCTGTAGGCAGTTTCTGTGGAGCTTCAGACTCCCAGGAGAGGCTCAAAAAATTGATCGTATGATGGAAGCTTTTGCTTCACGCTATTGCCTTTGTAACCCAGGAGTTTTTCAGTCTACAGGTTAGTTAAATATGTGATTTTTTTTTTTTCCCCATGATATGTATTCTTCTATACTTGGTGCAAGGAAACAATGGCCAATTTAGAAGTTCAGGATAAAGTATGTGAACTAACACATTTCTGAGAACTCAGAAAATGCCACTGTATAATCCTGTGCTTTATGTCCAGGAGGTGCAAGCTGATGGTCAGAATGCATTTCCATTTACAAAACTTTACCTTTCATATATAAGCTAATTGGAATCTTAGTTCTCCAATTCCAAGCCAAAAATCTCTGGTGACATTTCTAAAGTGTGTTTTAAGCTCTAGTATTAGATATCAGTATATCCTGGTAAAACTGCCATTTTTTGTAAGCAGCAGTTCCAGTGATGACCCAAGAAGATCTTGATGCTTTGATGTTTTTTCAGGGTAATAATACATTACCTGTTCCTCAAGAAACATAAAAGGAAAAACAAAACAGAAGTAGTAAATGATTGATGGTGGACAAAGTTGGAAAGACAGAAAAACTTAACCAAACAGCAGACAGGAATGCCTTAAAGCAGACATGCATATAATTGGCAGAGCTACCTGCAAGAAAAATGATGGTTCTAAGATATGTAAGATTACATAGACTAAGGGGCTCAGCCAGGTGAGACCTACAGGTTGGGTAATCTCATCTGTCAGGTATAAGGACTTCACACCTGAATGTCTCCTTATCAAGTCTACCTAATATGTGGCTGTAGTATATTACCAAGAACGTCATCAATTTTTTCCTTACGAGGACTGTGTCCTTTCTCTTTTGCAGTCTGCTCATCGATGACTTATCTCAGTTAAAAATGCACCTCAGTTTTGCATTTAATTGCTTGGTCTAGGGTTATTTGGGCCACAAAAAGCTAACAAAGCTCTGCGATACTGCACAGAATGCCCTAGTGTTCTAACATTGCTATATGCACGCACAGCTCGCTGCTGCTCAGTTAATGTGAGGAAGAAAGAGGCGAGGAAAAGGTTAACATAAAGCAAGTCAGCAACAGCTACAGAGGGAAATCCTTATTGAAAACAAAATGCTGAAGATGCAAACACATCTTTCCTCAGTGGATGTGTTTGGAAGGATTTCCATCCTGCTTTTTCTCACATGGGATTTTGTACTTGAATTCTGGGATAATTTACCACAGTCATAACCATATCAAAAGGCATGATGAGATCTCTTGTTATCCTTTGGTATTGTCCAGTGCTATTAACCCCCTCATCTATGCCAAGAAATTTAGTCAAATGTTATTTTCAGTCTTTTTAAATACAGTTAAAGTATGATTTTGAAGAGATTGTTCTTTATTTTGTTTTGTAGTTCGAGTCAGAATCTGAGGGATCAAGTCTGTTATTGGATCTACCAAGTCTATCACATTATCAGTGCCAAATCTTTGTGCAAGAAACAGAAATGACAGTTCTCTTAAATTTTGCCCAACACCTCAGACTTCCAAGTGAAGTGTTAATATAGGGTGATACCAATGATTTCAGAGTTTTAAAATTTTTCATATTCTATTCTTCTGCTGAATTTCTTATACTGGCTTTTAATTTGAGTTGTTACCTTTTTTTTTTCTTAGGCTTACTCAACAGTTCATAGAAAAAATTGTGACTTTTTTTGTGTATAGTGCTTAGTATTTCATCAGTCGGGATGAGATACATATTCACTTTATGGGTTTATAGAAAGTATACAAAGAAATATAAATCACTTTTCAAATCTCATTTCAGATACATGCTATGTGCTATCATTTGCGATCATTATGTTAAATACCAGTCTGCACAACCACAACGTAAGAGATAAACCAACAGTAGAGAGGTTTATTTCTATGAATCGTGGAATTAATGAAGGTGGAGACCTTCCAGAAGAATTGCTACGAGTAAGTTAAATTGGGGGGATAAAAAAGAGGTTGCTTTGTGTTTTTTAATAGGAAACTTGAAAGCACATGCAACAGTTCTCAGACTGATTTGTCAAGGGAAGTAAGAACACTTCCTAGCATGCATAACTATTTAAGAAGCTGAAAGAAGCATTCTCTGATGTTCATGGCCTCTTCAGTTAGTTGTCTCTCAATCTTACGTTGAGGAGGGGAGATTGCAGAGGAAATACTCTGTGTAACCCTCAGCAGTTCCTTCATAGAATCATAGAATGGCTGGGGTTGGAAGGGACCTTAAAGACCATGCAATTCCAACCCCCTTGCCATGGGCAGGGACACCTCCCAGTAGAAAAGAATGCCCAGGGCTTCATCCAACCGTGAACACCTCCAGGGATGGGGCATCCACAGCTTCTCTGGGCAGCCTGTGCCAGTGTCTCACCACCCTCTGAGTGAAGAATTTCCTCTTAGCATCTAATCTAAATCTCCCCTCTTTTAGTTTAAAACCATTCCCCATTAGTTTAAAAACATTGCCTTGATACATTTCTGTGTATTTTGTGAAGCTTTGTACTGTCCTCTGAGATACCAGTAGACGTACTTATTTCTCTAAGACAGTGATGGTTTAAAGGATTTTCTGAAAATCCGGATTCGTTTGGCCACACTTGTATTAAATGAGTGCTGTTTGAGAAGCTGAAACCTTTGAAATACTGAATTCTGAAAGAAAAACGTCTTTGTTGGGATGTACTTGTAAAATCTGTAGAGAGAAAGAGACACTTGTTTATAGATGATGTAGTTTAAAAACAGACTTACTCAAAGTAGTAAACAACGACTGAGAAGGGATGGTCCCGAACTTTATGGACAATATTTCCTTTGTGTTTTTTTAATACAAATAGTCTGAGAAGCAGTAGAATGCATTTTCTGTTAGACATTATTAATGAGGTATTTTTCCTCTTTTTTTATTCTTCTAGAATTTATATGAAAGTATTAAGAATGAGCCGTTTAAAATTCCAGAGGATGATGGAAATGATCTAACGCATACATTTTTTAATCCAGATAGAGAAGGTTGGCTGCTGAAATTAGGTTAGTTTATAAGGGCACTTTTGCTGCTATGTGTTTGTTCGTTGTTAGCATGTCTGCTCCTTCTGTGTCTAACTGCTTTCTCCTAAATGTAATAGGATTAATCTTGTACTTAAAAATGTATACCATAATCAGTAACTCCTTTACAACTAAAGGTCGTTACTTCTTGTTTTACATATCCAAATTAGAGATCTTATTTCCAACTTTGGAGTTTTATTTCTGATATTTGAGAAGTGAAAACTCAGCAACAGAAAGGAAACTCCACATGGTATTTGCCACATGCTGTGACTGATAAATAACATCTAAATCTCCATGAAGTCATTTCAGAAAACGAATGTGAAATTTCAATTCAGTTTTCTGTGTGCAAAAAGAAAGGATTTCTCTTCAAATAGTTATTTTTGTATGTCTTTATTTTTCCATATTATTTGTGAGTTTCTCTTGGTTTGGTTTTGGCTATGATTTTTTAATGAGTGGTTTAAATGTGCCTTCTTGTTTTCCTTATGGCCTATGACCTATCACCTTTCTGTTCTGTGACTGGCTGTCTCTGCTTATTCTGCATTAGGAGGTACGTATCTGATTGCTTTCCAGTCCCATCTTGTTCAGTTGCTCATTCTTTTTATTTTCTTCCTCCTTCCTCCTGTTTTTTCTTTTCTTTATTTTTTTTCTTTATTTTTTTTTAATCAAATTTATTATAGCATTTTGCTTTTTCACTCAGTGTCACTAACAGTATCATCAGTGGTATTCTGTCCACAAAAGACTGGCATGTTAGTGTCTAGCTCACATGCAAGTGTCTTCTGTTTAAAACAACAAAAAAAAAGTGTTTAAATGTAAAGCAGAAAAATAAAGATGACTTCTCAGCGAACTTCTCATGTCACTGAAGAATACAACAAGGGATGAGTAATTTCAACTGAGAGAAAAGCCTTTCTTACCCTTGTAATCAAGTTTTAGGGTGATTTTGTTACATGTATTAGATTATTGAGAAATTTGATTACAATTGATGTACATTTGAACTATACATATATATAAAAGTTGTTCTTTTTGCTATTTATTTTCCTTTGTAAATTATATATATAGCTTGCTTAACAGAATGTTAAATGAGTGCGAAGTTTAAGGTCACTAGAATCTTTGGTAATTTGCAGTCTCCTGGCACAGCTTTCTTAACAAAAAAGGCTTTCAAGATGAAGTAGATAAAATGCATTTTCTGGAGAAGAGGCTGGGAATAAGCTCTTGTTATGAATGCTGGGCATATCTATCCCTTCTCTGTTGGTTGCCAATACTCCTCATAGAATTATATGCATACAGAAAGTGCAAGTAAGAGTGGGAGTGTGCACGTAGAGGAGTGCCAAACATCCACTGTGGAACAAAGAGTCAATAAAATACGTATGAGAGAATTGAAAGAAATAAAAATAGAGGAACAAGGAAGTTGAAGAAAAAAGGTGACTGCTGAAAGCTGCTGGGTACTTGTGCACCTGCCACCTCCAGTGCTGGCAAGTAGGGCCAATGAAGCCAGCTTTTCCTTGTGGATGGTGTAAATGAGAGACAATACACAGGAAACCCAACAGCAAAAGCGTGCATGAGACTGCAGGGTGTTGCTGGTGACGCTCCCACATCAGTGGGGTTATTTGAATAAGGAAATTAAATGTGTCCTGAAGCCTTCGGTGAATCAGCCTGTGAATGCATGAAGCTGTGCTTCCTGGAAAGACTGCTTTTTTTCAGCAGGCGCAGACTGCTTACAGACAAATTTGCTAAATGAGGTGAATTGACCAAAACCAAACCTGGCAATATTCTTTCCTTTTCATTCTTTCCTCCTTCTTTCTCCTCTCTTGAGTTTCCTATTTACTAGGAGGCTTAAACTATATGTTAGAGAGTACCATCTTGATCCACATAATCTGCATCGCTACAGCCCTTTCTGTTGGGAATCCATCAATTTCAGAGTACTTGAGTTTCTTTTTATTTCTGGAAGATGTGGATGTTTAAAGTTTTGGTATTGTTGAGATGCTGAGGAGATACTATTCCTGTGTGAGAGTTCAGGTGCTCAATTGTGTTAATTCTTGCGTAAAAGATCAAAGTTCATATATAAAACGATGAGTAAGACAAGCCCTGACTCAAATCCTGAGTCTTATCAAGACACTATTTTATATTACTTACAGTCTCTCTTCCCATTTGTCTACCTGTGCCCTTCTATTTGGTATTGCAGCTTGCTGCGTTGATTCTTCTCTGGGCAGGAGATGGATATTGTGGAACTACCGTATATAGTAAAATTCACCTGTCCTAAAGACTTCCCCAGCTCTCTAGCCAGATGTGTTTTTAGAAAGCTGTGCTTCCCAAATGCTTGCTGTTGTGAAGCTTGCTGCTCTGAATTGTTCAGAGGTGCCTTAGTGTGAGTCCAAGTGCCAAACCGGGCAGCTAGGCAGCACTTCTGGCTTTATCTATCTAGACTCAGCTGGCTCTTTCCTGTAGATGCTTTTAGTCTCAGTAAATGTGAATTATCATTTGGTTTTACATCATTTGAAGCATGGTGTAATGAAAACAAATGCTACAAGTGGGAAAAAGCTGAAAGCTGCCGAGTGCTTATGAATCCTCACGTAGAGCAGCTTGAGACATCACTAGATTTTAGATGTTTCTGCATCATGATTGGTGGTGGTGTTTACCATCAAATTTTGTATCTTCCGACTGAAGGTATTTGAAATTTTTATATGGGCTGTCTGTCCTAATTTCTAGCTAATAATCATTTTGCTCGGGGAGGGCGTTCCCGTGTCTAAAACAGCTTCTCTTGGCAAACAGCTTGGTTTGCGTAATTTCTTCTAGTTAGAGGGAAGCTGTGACATAGCTCTACCAAACTGGAGAGGAAATGATTCAAGCCTGACACGTGATTGTGTTAATTTTTTTCTGCCAGTCAGGCAGCAACTGAGAGCTTGGAGGTTGTCCAAAGGCCTTGCTTCTGGGCCCGTTCTGCCCATGGCGCTTGTTCCAGCACATCTGTCCTTGGGAGGATGTCACTGCTTTTCCTAAATCTAGGGCGAGAGAATAATGGTTGGTGATCAGGAAACTGATGCCTTCCGGTTCCCATCTGGGTCGCATGGATGCTGTTCTAGTTTAAGGCAGTCGATGTTGCTGTTGAGGTAAACGTTTTCAAAGAAATGCAAACAGAATTGTGTGTAACTGCAGTTTCTGAGTCTAATTCCACCTAGTGGTATCTAAATGAACTGAGACATACAAAAAAAAAAAAAACAAAAAACAACAAAACAAAACAAAAAACACATTATTTTTATTTCTGTCTACCTGACTCTTTTTCCCCATTAAAACTTTATTTGCAAATGTGCTGAAGATTTGAGCAGAATTTTCTGACTTCGGATACTTTGCTGCCTTTGGTTGTAAAACCATTTTTAGTTTTTGAAGTCAGTGTTTCCTAAGTCAGTGCCAATTGTTTTTCCCTTCGGCCTAGGTGGTTTATTTTACCTTATTCTCTAGTTCATACTTTCTCCAGAGTTGAAAAAAAAATCCAGTGTTGGTTTACTTAGGTGAAGAGGATTTTTCTTTCTCTTTCTGTACATTTTGCATTATGGCCTTTGCTTGTAGTTTCCTTAAATTTTGACTGACAAGATTTACTTTATTTTGTTTGTCCTTGCATTTCAGTTAATCAGCTAGATCCTTGAGAATTACATCCTTTGTATCTCTCCATTTCTGTAAAAGTTTATGGATTCATACTCCATTTTTTTGATCCTTTTCTGATAACTTAATTCCTTTCAGTTTTAATCTTGAAGAGGCTGACAACTGGAATAAGACATGAAGCATGGTACTAACCCTCTGTGCTGTTGTTTTGTGAGCCTACAGCAATTTCGGCCGAGGAAAAGAATTTTTTGTTATCAGTAGTTCTTACCATTAATCTTGTATGCCATGCTTATGATCCCCAAAGCCTTATCAACCAGCCTCTTGGGTTTTAGCCCAATTTTAAAGGCATATTAAACATGTTGTATGGTGACCCCTACAAACTTGATGAGTACAGATTAGATTGCCTTTCAAGCTTTTTATTAGAGTTTCTGTGCTGTTGACAGCTGCAACTAAGTAATGGGGTGGGGATATAGAGATTTATATATTAGAATACTTGTTTATCTTGGGCAAAAAAATATCCTGCCTCACTTTTTTTTTTTGTGGAAGAGAAGAGTAACTCATAGCTTGGTTGGGAACAGGGACCTGTGCTGCAGTTCCACAGCTCACACGAGTGCTGTGACCTGGTGAGCTACTGACTGGCTGAGAGAAGGGAGCTGCAATGAACCTTGGATTACCTGATAAATAGATCCTGTTACGGCGATAGGAAGGACTGCCCTGGCAGTCATCTTGACTTGGTTGCTGCTTATTCATTGATTGAGAAGTGAATCAAGCTAAAGTTGGCTGATTTTCCATTCCTGGCCTAAATACTTCCTGGTACTTGAACCAGCGCTTAGTCAAGGTGATGGGAATTTTTCTAGTGACTCACGTGCCAGTTTGACCATTTCTACAATGATTTATTTAAGGACCTGTCACAGTGGTTGTACTAAAATGCCACCAATTCTTCCCTCACTGTCTCCAGTTCACTCAACCATCCATTCTGTCACGGCTTCTGCATCTTGCACTATTTTGCCTTCTCTTATTTCACCACACCTGCTTGCAGATTAATTTTTTCTTGGGATATGTGTGCGTGTAGTGGAAACGTGCAATTTATTGAGTACATTGAACATTGCAGCGTGTTAGCACTGGGCTATAACATAGGTCTTTAAACCAACTGAAACAAAGACACAACATTCAACAAGACTTGGTCTGCATTGCAAATATGTAGTAGACTGGTATAAAAAATAATGATATTCCTAGAATTGAGGATTATATCAAAAAAGTTTCAACTGTCTCAAGAAGAGCAGATGAAAAAATATGTTTGTGTCTTAAATTTAGTTACATGACTTAAATAAAATTGGGGGCATTGTGTATGTTAATGGTACTCTTTTATCCAGGGTGTTCAATAGCAATATTTTGAGACATTTGGGTTAATGAGGTGAAATCATTGCTGAATGGATGATGCACAGGTGGTGATATAATCCTGAAGTCATATAACTATGGTGGAACAAAGCCTGTATGTCGATCACACGTGAATTCTTTATCTACTATTGTCTGTCCTGAAAATGAGTCCTGAAAATAATAATTGTAGAATACTGGAGAGGTTGTGAGGTAGCACACTGCAGAGCAATAGGCGAAAAGTCCGAGACAATGTGTGTTTCTAAAAGGATCAATTCCATACAGCATGACATTAACAGCTGGGAGAAAGAGCATCTCAGTGATTGCTGGTTTCTAAACCACTAATGTGGGGGGGAAAAAAAAGTAGTATTTTTTGAGCAGTAGCTATGCCTTTTGTTGGGTGTATTCCATTACGTATTTCCCCATAAAAAGCACATGTTTTTAAAACAATAAATGATGAAAAGTCACTACAAATGATACATTTTGTTGTAGCATTTTCTGCATTTGCTCCAAGTTGATGACTCATCAGAGTTGTTCTGCTTGCAAGTGGTAAGGTTTGTAAGCATCTGGTGTGCTTGATGTTAAATCTAGTACTAGAGAGAGCTAGGTTCTTAATCACATGCATGGTCGTGAGTGGAGTGCAAGGAAGGTGATAAAACATCACTAATTTTACTGATGAGACCCCTTCCTTGTAAAAAGACAGGCTGTGGAGAGGATTGGTCCTGTCATTGAAACTCAGTTACTGGGTTTGCTGTTCGGCCTCCTTTCCCATAGCAGCACTGGCTCTGTATTTCTGAGCACCATGAAGGATTAATGTTTTTGATTAATATTTTTGAAATAGCTGTGACTACATGGACAGAAGCTCATGTGGCTGGTCAGCAGCACCATAGTTAATGCGGTCTCAGGAGTTTGATCTCAGTACAAGAGCTATGGAAACACGTTCTTTTAATCTCAGCTCATCTGTGCCTGATCCATTTGCAATAAATTAAGCCATATTTTGAAAAACAAAACTAAATACTTTCTTCTTATCCGTTACTGAAGCCTTGACAGCAACACACGTTTAATTTATCGATACCTTTTGATTATAGGGGGAAGAGTAAAAACATGGAAACGAAGATGGTTTATTCTGACCGATAATTGCCTGTATTACTTTGAATATACGACAGTGAGTATATATTGCAGTTAGCTTCAATTGTAATCCAGGTATTTAAGGGGCTAATGTGGTATTTTCTTCGTTTTTAGGACAAAGAACCTAGAGGGATTATTCCATTAGAAAACCTTAGCATAAGAGAAGTTGAAGACCCTAGAAAACCAGTAAGATATCTTCATTTTAAGTTTTTACTGAAGATGTTTGCCAGTTGTTTGTTGTTTTATTTTTGTTTTTTAATTTATTTTTCCATTTCTACCTTCCAGAACTGCTTTGAGCTCTATAACCCCAGTCATAAAGGGCAAGTGATTAAAGCCTGTAAAACCGAAGCTGATGGTAGAGTGGTAGAAGGCAACCATGTAGTGTATAGAATATCTGCTCCCACCCCAGAAGAAAAAGAAGAATGGATTAAATCTATCAAGTGAGTTTTGAGTCTTCACTGTCTTTCAGAAATGAAATGTAAGCTCTGCTCTGAGAAGAGTAAGGTATTAAGAGAATTTGTATTCTAACTTACGTGAAGTGTTCTGATGTGGCAGTGTCCTCCAGGATTAATGAAAAGCTACATGGGGTTGATAGATCAGGATAAGTTTCCAGTTACTGTCTGGTCCTAAGGAAATAGTAATACTACTAACTCAAATGAGGAAAATGTGGATTTTTTTTTCTTGTGTTGAAGCGAATTTAAAACCGTGTGTGAATTATCATTAACCCTGATTTTGTTAAATTCTTCAACTACTAAATAACTTCAGTGACATCTATCTTGAGCATGTTCACAGTGCAGCTTTGAACTTTGATAATTTGACTTCATCTTGTAAGATTTGTAAAGCAGACCCACTCTTAAAGGAATAAATAATGTTCAAGAGGAAGGTATGACCTCTTAACAAATCACAGCTGAATATGATCTTATTTTAAAATAAATGTTTCTGGTGCTTAGAGGCCTACAGAACTTCCTCACGAGGCGAGTGGAAGGGCAGGCACTGAGCTCTGCTCTCTGGGGACAGCGACAGGACCCAAGAGAATGGCATGGAGCTGGGACAGGGGAGGGTCAGGCTGGGTGTTAGAAAAAGGTTTTGCACCCAGAGGTGGTCAGGCAATGGGATAGGCTCCCCGAGCAGTGGTCATGGCACCAAGCCTGACAGAGGTCGAAGAACGTTTGGGCAACACTCTCAGACGTAGGGTCTGATTTTCAGATGATGCTGTGTGGAGCCAGGAGTTGGACTCGGCGATTATTGTGAGTCCTTTCCACCTTGGGATGTTCTGTCATTCTAGGTCAGCAATCCATTATTTGATTATAAGTGTGGAGTCACTCAAAGGGAAGAGAGAACAAAACAGTTCTAGTTTTCAGAAATGGGTATTTGTTAACCAAACTGATGATGCCTTTTCTTTTAGAGCAAGTATAAGCAGGGATCCATTTTACGATATGCTGGCAACAAGGAAACGAAGAATTGCAAACAAGAAATAGAATGTGATCAGCGGCTTGTATACATGCATCAACTTATAAATGAACATACAGTTGAGTGATAATGTAAAAATTGGACAAACTAAGTGAAGACATTAACTGTAAATTTTATATATATATATATATATATACTTTACTATGACATAAAAACTTGGCAAGATCTTTCAAGGTAAATAGTTACTGGCATATAATTTGAAGTAAACTTCAAATCCCAGAGGATGATTTTGTTGGAACTTTATTCAACTGAAAACATGGAAGCCTTGTTTCTGCTTATGTTAGTTACAGCTCCAGTTTACTTTGATTGGCAGGGAAGGAATTCCAGGCTAATATGCTGTACCTCTTCCTTGAGCTCATTGTCCATAAACAGAGGAGCAATTGAAGTTATTTTAATCTCCATTAAATGCAACACTACGAAGTGGAGTCGTGGGCGATCCAGCACTTGATTTTTCTGTAAGCAGAAAACCCACAATCTCAGTAGCAGTTTTCAAATCTTGTGCATCTTGCAGTAAATGACCAGCTGAGTGAAGCTTTCATTTAGAGTATGTGCTCCTATGTTAGATGGAAATAGCTTTTCTTCTTCAGAAGTGCAGCTGAGTGGTGGACTGGCAGCTACATAGTTAACTAGTTGTGCCAAAGGGTTTGTGTTGAATGCACTGAAAAATATGCAGGTCCCAACAGTAAAGGATTGTCTGTAGGCATGACACTGAGTACAGATGTGGTTTGATATTTGCCAGTAGGCTAAAACTCATTCCAGTCTGCTCACGCACAATAAGCAGTAAGATTTAATGACTGGTTTCATCTGCTTTTTATATAGTAACATCCTTCTTATGTTTTAGATATGTTGTAGTTAAAGTAACACTAAGTTACTACTAAAGGAATAAGATGACAGGGCTTGCATGTGTTGCATTAGGCTTTGCATGTGAAAACACCCCCTAATAATTTCACATGCATTTAATATTTTTAAAGGGAAAAAACAGGAAGGTGTGCTCTTTCTGTAAGGTACAGCCCTAGATAGTTAAGGCGTCAGCATTCATTCCTTTGCCTGATAGCAAACTTTTAACATACAGAAAAGTTAAATATTTTCATTACATTCTTAAAGGCGATTTTTCAGACTTGTGCTTCAGTCATTCAAGTTGAAGAAGTGAGTAGACATCCTTACTTTTACGTAAAGAACAAAATCTGTATCTAAGGTTGTGTTATCTAACACACCTAAACTCCCACCCCCACATTTTTTTTGTAACTTCTGGAAGATCTTTTTGCAGTCCCACTCTGATAGCCTTTCAGTAACATACAAACTGCCGTGGCAGAGTCTGTTCCAGTGCTTTTCTATTGACAGTGTGCATAACACTAAAGGTAAAGCCCTTCATTTCACAGTGGGGACATAAAGTGTTTGTTTGGACCCTGCTGCTTCTGTTAGTACTCATTTTTTTCACAAACTTGTTGAACCTGAGCCGTGCCTACTGTGCCAACAAATGCTTTGGTGACAGAGTTGTGTTGTCAAAGCAACACTTTGCTTCTCGGAGTTAACAGAAGCAGCTCTGGATACATGATAGAGAATTGTGCTGCATTGAGAAAAACAGACACTAAGTTGATCTATTTCAAATCTCATTTTAACTTTAAAGGACAGTTAGTTTCGTGGTTCCTGTCTTACTAATTTGCCTTGTTTTGCATGGAATGTCAGCCTGTGAATATTTTGCTTTATTGCATGCTTCAAAAAAAGGCTGAGAGGAAGAGCCTGGAGGAACCTTTTCTATACTATATACTATTTCTATACTCCCCGAGCATGTGGAATTGCAGGCTACTTGGATGAATGTTCAAATGTCAGTAGGGGAGCAAACCTCAGCCAAAGGAGGTAGAATCCTTGCTTAACAAGTAAGTATCAATGTGGGGACATCTTTGCTTAATGGTAGGCATTTAAACTCTTTATAGAAACGAATTAAGTTGTACATCTTTTGTTTGGAAAGCAGTATGGTTACACAGCTGCTAACATAATGACTTGAGTCTTCCATTCTGCAACTTCAAGTTTTGTTTTCAAGCAGTGCATACATCAGTTTTAGCTTTGGACAAGCAGATTTGTAATGCAAATAGTGATAAACCAGAACCAGTGGTACTGACGAGTGTAACGGTGAAATGCAGCAAATAAAGTGTTCCTGGAGAAATGTGAGATTACAAAAACAGTAAGCCATGAAGCACTTTTTTTTTTTTTTTTTGATCAATTCTTACATTCTGAAATATCACCTTCAAGAAAATCTGTTTATCTAGCCAGGTGAGGGTGTCTACCTGTAAGCATGAAGGAAATGCCTTGAGAGTTTATTTGCTGTATTTGGTTTAAAGTTCTTATATCCTGCAGAAAAGATTATTTAGATTAACATGTAACTGAGGATATAGCAGGAAATATATTATTTCTAGCATTAAAATGCAACATCTAAACCAGCTATTTGTGGTGCTCAATGTAACTATTTAATTTACCAAAGCTAATGGAATATCATTCTTTTGTGTGATAATATTTGATTTCAAATGTTTTTTGTAACAGTATTAACAGGGAGTGAAACTGGCCCAGAATTTCCACTGGCCACGAGGCCAGTAAAACAAAGTGGCTTGTGAAAATTTTGGCCAAGTCAGGTACTATCCATGAGGGTGAAGAAAAATCTCTCAACCTTTCCCTTTTTTTATTGGGCTTCAAGTCCAGGTGTAGCTACTAAGGCTAGCTGCTCTGTGGCCTAAAGCAATACCTGTTACAGTTTGGCCATGCTGAGGAAAAGTCCTCTGGGGACAGCAGACTTCTCCCTTCCCATTGCGCTGAAATTTGCATAATTCTTCAGCTCTTTACCATTGCCCTCTGAAACTACAGGGGCCAGCAAGAGCCGCTACTGCTTCTGCCACACAGACGGCTTCTCAAATACCTAAACCATTTGGCCACTAACTTCAGCCACGCTGCCAGTGCAATCTAGGGAGAGAACTGTATATAATACTTAAGCTCAGCTGGACTGACTTAAATTTTACAATATTCTGACAAAATAAGCTCTAAATCACTTAACATTTTGAACAGTTTTAAACTGGTACAAAACTGAACCTTTATAAACCAAGCAGCATTTATAATGCTTCATATATAAAAACAATGCCTATTTTTTAAGATTTATTACATATCTATGTAGATATGCTTGCTGGAAAAGCTAGGTCTGTTGTAGACCAAATGCTACAAATTAAGACTTGTGGCTTACCAGTTTCATTTCTATATTTTCTTGGAAAATGTTTCTAGTTAGAGTTTAAATATAAAATGTAAATACTGTACAGATATGTATTGATATAAGTATTACTTGGTGTACACAGGTGATTTGCATGACAAATACTCTGTATCGATCATTGTTAAAAATGTAATGTTCTGTGTAAATCCATTGCAATATTAATCTTTTCACTTATCATCAAGAGCTGTTACTTAAACCTGGACGTTCTCAAAAATAAAGTGTGAAACTATATACTACTGTATAGCTCCTCCTTTATCAAGAGTACATGCAAGATAATTGCTTTTTTTTTTTTCTTTCTAGAGGGTGATTCAATTTTATAGCATGGATTGTAACTGCTCTTGCAAGTGCCCTTTTAGGCACAACAGTTTAAAGGATCAGGTTACAGAGAAAACCCTTTCACTGCAAAATAGATAGAAAAAAGTATGCTACAGCTACGAATGTTAATTCTAGCAAGAGCTGGAGATCTGTTTCCTTTGAGAACCACCCTAACCACCCTAAATTAGTGAAAGGACCTGACAAAATATTTCCTTGTGTTTCAGTCAAACATAAATGGGAGAAAAAGTGATCTCCTCTCCTCAAGGAGACAAATGAGACCTCCCCCCAGCAGAAGCAGCCAACACCGCTGCAGTTGTCCCATCTTCTTCAGAGGGCTAAGCTGAAGCTGTCTCTCACTGCACTCCCCTACTCCTGTATGGCAGCTAGTTCCAGCAGTAGTTGTTGCCGGACGCGCTTAATAGAGCACTAAAAAGGTACAGCAGTCAACATTTAAACTCCTTTTATACATTTAAGCCCAGACTTAATGATCAGACAAAACACAAGACACCAAATCTTGGAGCCAAAGGACAAAAGAGGAAAAAAAAGCCAGATACAGGACAGGTGGGTGTTTTCTTTGTCATGTTACTTTATGTAACTTAACATAACTGTTGCCATAGGAACATTATGCAGGGTACACTTATGGTTTGGCTTTATGGTGTTCTCCATGTACCAAAATATTACTTGAATTATCTAGTAAAACATTAACCTTGCTCCTTTTTTAGTGTCACACGCAGTGGAAAGCTACTGCCAAGCTTCCAAGCTGTTGCCTGCTTTGGGAAGCTGTTAACTTCAAAGGAGAAAGACTTCTGCATTCTTGTCTAGGCAGTTGAAGTCCCAAGTTACTTGTCTTCTCTGTGTCACACCAACAGCATCTTCTCACCTACCACTGAAAGGAAGATCTGATTTCTTGATTATCCAACACTCTGAAAACTGTCAAGTCACATGACATATTGCATGTTAAATAACTCAAGTAAAACTCAAGTAAAAATCCATTTTAACTTCGCTGTATTTATATACTATATAAATTTTACATGCTATATATTTACAGTGGGGCAAGTGCTTTTTATCTTTAAAAAAACAAAGATCAAACTTTAGACATCTCTGAACAACACAGCTTGTATAAACCAGACAGATTATTCAGATGAACTGTATTTAATACAGGTTCCCCACTCATCTCCTGATGCAGGACCAGTGAGTAATAAGTGCATCACAGTTTGATAGCATTTAATAATAAAAATAAAAATCACAGTATGAATTTGTCTGTAACTAGAAACTTTAGAGGGACAAAACAGACAACCAAGACTTAAGACAAGTGACGCTGTATTAAAAAGTGTAATAAAAACATATGGAAGAGTATACAAATAGTCTGAGATACATTCAGAACTGCATATTCTGATCATTGTTCCACAGCGTTGAAAACCAGAACATTCTTCCGATCTTGAATAGAATTAAAATGTGAAGTAAATTAGTTTCTAGTGTCAGGCGTCACAAAAAAGATGAAGCTCTTGCAAAACTCCTGTTATGTGAGAGCTTGTGAAATCTTAAATAAGTCTTTAAATTAAATATACAGACTGTCAGTTGCAAATTTTATAATTCTGTGGTTTCCTGGTCGTTCTTGCACCAGATGTCTAACTTGGAGTAACATTACATGAATAACACACAATCAACCTGAGTCTGTAATTAAGCAGCATTTGAGATGTTCTATTCCAGGGCATTGTTTTCAGTGAGATATTTACTTGGTAATGTACAATGTTCAGCAGTTGTAGAAAGTTTCCACCCTTTTGGATTAGAAGTACATTTTAAAAAAGAAAGTCTCAAGTTAAAAGCTAAAAAAAAGTTCTTTCATGGTAAAAGTCTGTACAGACATTTGAAGCACCACTTATGATTGGGTTTTGTTTTGATGGTAATTTTACGGTATTGATAAATTTTAAGTAAGTTTTGATAGTTTGTTTTGATAATGTTGAGTCGTCGGTTTTGAAGGTAAAAGGTGGTTGGTTTTGACCATAAAAGGTTGGTTTTGACAGTAAGAAGACGTTGGGTTTGACGGTAAGAAGTCGTAAGAAGACGGTGGGTTTTTGATGGTAAGAAGTTGTTGGGTTTGAAGTTGTTGGGTTTTGATGGTAAAATGGTTGGTTTGGATGGTAAAAAGGTCATCGGTTTTGATGGTAGGTTTAGTTTGAGTACTGAAGGCTTCCATCTGTAAGCTCTGCGTCTGAAAGACGAAAGGAAGAAATGTCATTCCCTGTTGAGTTACTCAACATGGAACTGTTTGGCTCAGTGGTTTTCTTTCTAAACAGAGAAGTCACAACTCTGCACATGGCTTGATCTGATCTGTGACTACAGGACTGAACAGGCTAGAGAAGGTAGCTTCCAAAGCCCTCCCATTAAATTGTTGCTGCATTTCAGTTCTATGCTAGAATTGGTAAACTGTACAGAACATTAGGACAAAACTACCTGCTCTAATAGCAAATGGTAGACCTTAGGTATATTAAATTTATTTGAAGGTTTGATAGGACATCATCCTTCTTTTACTAGTGATCTTGTAGTCAGCTGACCAAATCCTAGCCACAGAAGCGTTCAGAAACTTGCTAGAGAGAGCACTTAGGAATGCAGGGATTTAACTGCTTTAATGCTGCTCTTTCTCTCAGGTATTTGGATTTTCCTTAAATTACAAATTAATCACTAGCTATCCTTGTTAATTTATTCAAAGTAACATGAGTCCAGGTGAAAAGGCACAATCTAAGCAAGTCCTCAGTTGTTCCTAGTCTGTCCCTAGCTTATTTGAGAGGTTCAATACTGTAAAAAACAAACAAAAAACCAAACTGATGAAGTGACCTTTTTTTCAGATTAGATTCCATCATTCAGAAAATTCTGCTTAGAAACATTTTTTTTATTTTCTTTGAAAGACCGGGCCTTCCCCAAAATGAAACTAATCTTTAGCCTTGATGAAATACTCGAATTCCTCAATTTACCAGAATTGCTTTGCACAGCCCTTCTATCCCGCTTATGTTGCAAGCAGCGTATCTAACTGGGGTACTATTGTATTTATCAATGAGCATCTCTTTCACTTACATAGCCCAGTGATCTTAATGCCCCAGACTAGTGGAATGTATGCAACACATTTACTATGCTTTTGTCTGGTTTAGAAAAAACGAGTTTGCCCTCTGCTGGCCAGAGAATTCATTGAAGCCCAAAGAGCGTTAGGAGCAGACGCATTTTCTTCTGTGCTGTTCCTGATTTACCAGCTAGAAGAGATGCTTACAATTTAGTACAATCAGGATTCTTTTGACATTAGTATCATAAAAAGTCTGGTTTTGCAACACTGGTATTTGAAAGACCTCATTTCAGTCCCTAATTTTGTTCTTGATAATAGGACAGATTGTATTAAAGTCTGCAAGAATGTGTGAACAACCAGCCTCCCCTCCATGTGGTATTTTAATATTAAAACTTCTGGTCATCCAGGTCTCAAAACACAAACATGCTTTGCAACAATTGCACTTCCTCTTTATCTTCAAGAAACTTTTCAGTGCCAGGCAAAATTTTTGAAAATCTCTTCCAAGATTTAACTTCTCCAACCATTCTATAAAAGGCATTCAGCTGTAAAGCAAGAAGATGAATTCTTTTGTTTCCTATGCCAGAATGGCAATTTCAACACTCAGTAACAATCCTGTTCATTGTTAACTGGTTAAGTTGTGGCTAGGTATAAAATGTAGAAAATGTTTAAAAATAAAACTTGCCTTTGGATAGTGAACTGTCTTCTTCGGGGATTACTTCAGTTATCTGTAAGAGGAAAATAGATGATTGGGGGGAGGGTTGTTTGTTTTTAAGAACGGGTGCAGTCTTGCCAGTAATTTAGCTGGTATTTTTCAAAGTGAGCTTTTAGAAACTTTACAGCTCTGTTGAATCAATGTGTCTCTAACCCTACAATTAAACCAAATAATGCTAAAAGATGCAGCAATTTATCTTACTGCAAGTGCTTATTAAAATATCTGAGTAACTGGGACTGTGGCTTCATCTCAGATACATATATATGTAATACTACACACTTCTGCTCAGGAAAAAAATCATGGAAAACATAAAACTTCATTTTTGATGTTGAATTGTTGCAGCGTGCAGTCTTCTTCATCACATGATTCTATAGCTAATTAAACTGTATTATCTACTGAGAGACCAAGATTATGACAAGAACAGCACAGAGTTCAGTGTGAAGCCAATCAGGAGCTCAAGTCTGTATTTAGTTTTCTGTAAGGAGATGTACCAAGATGGCTTTTTTATACTAAAAATTGTTTTATCAGCCCATTTCTCTATATTCTTAAGCCTATACTAATAGGAAAAAAAACACAAGTAGAACAATAGCAGGAATTTAACATACTCTCCAGGTGTTAAATTGCAAAGCGTCCTCTGGAGGATTAATAACTGTGAATTCAGTGTGCTTAGGAGAAGGCAGATCTACATCTGAAACAAAAATATTTCAGTATTATCACCAACTTATGTTACTCTGAATAAGCAGTCAGCACTGTTTCTATGTTATGAAATAGCTGAACATAGTATGTTATTCAAATGAATTATTCAGGCAGTTTATTTTTTTTTAGGAAGACTGTGTTTCACTATTACATTAGTGGCCTGTAAGCCTCATGTCATCGTCTTCCATCTTGACTACTGAACCTCCTTTCTACCTACAATATTCTTTTCCAAGATAACAGCTGTCCAAGTTTATTTTTCCTAGTTAGTTGGACTGAATTTAATAAGGCATCTTGCATCTCTTCCTCTTGTTTGCCACTTAATCATCAAATCAAATTATTTCTCTTTTAACCTCTTTGTTTCAGACTTTCTTTCCTAGTGGTCATTCAAAAATGGAAAAAAAAAGTCTATCAACTTCGTTTTTTTTAATATCCATGCAGACTGTTCAGTCATCA